TGACTAGCCAAGGCTGTAAGTCCAGGAGGAACGCACATCATCCAGACCATGAGGATTCTGGTCCACGCCGTAGCTAGAAAGTGTCATGCCGACAAACCAAACCATCAGGAAATCCTTGTTTGCAGCCAGTCTGAAAAGAGAAGCTGTTCCTCGTTCGTATGTTCGTTTTTCGAAACCTCCTGTTGGGAGCTGAATTCTTGTTATTTCATCAAGCAAACAATGTTCTCCTTTCCCTCCTCACCCTCCCTCCCCTCAGTAACTCGTGTGCATTTCCTTCCTTTCTGTAGATGCAGATGTTCTAGGCAATACCACAGATGCACCTGCGTGTGTCTCTACCTGCGAGTGCAAGAATCTCATGTCATCTTAAAAAATACAAAAAAATATACAAAAAATATACAAAAAATATCTTTTTTAGGCCAGAGTTTTCTACAGGTATTAATGAATATTTTTCTTAATCCTTATAAGTTTTATGTGTTTAATATTTCTTAATACCGGTAGCATTAATTTATACTTTTGTAGCAACACAATATTTTTATAAACCGCCACCGCTGGCTTTGTCTTCATAATGGGGAAGAGTGCGGGCAGCTGGCCCCGCGCTGTACCATGTACTGTATTTAAAAGGTTATCTAATGTCACACTTGCTGTGTTAATAAACAAAACAAAACCTGTTTGAAGTCTCATGTATTGTTGGTGTGGATCGAATGACTCAATAGAGAGCAATATTGCACGGGGTTGAGTTGCTGATTTTCATTGTGATATATGAACGCTTGAGGCCAACTCAAGTTCTTCTGATTTTTTTTTCTTTTTAGGATTTTGTTTTGTTTTGGTTTGGTTTTTTACAGCTAAATAAATTCAGTGCTGTTTGAAACTTAGACTGACGTCAAATGAAAAGGATTATTAAAGAAAAAAAAAATCAAGGTGTTTAAATGTTGCTGTTTTTACAAGTCTGTTGCTGTCTGAATGGAAATATTCCACGAGAGAGGAGGAATAGTTCCACTTAGCTTCCAAACGAGCTGAGCGCTCCAGGCCAGAGCTCGGTTATTTGGAGATATCTTAGAGACATGTTTCTGCAACATTCTTTTCAGAGTTGATGCCAAGGCAGAAGACAAACTGTAACTGTAAGAAAGCATCCGTTGCTTGAGGATTTTCATGTCAGTGTTGTATTTATGGTTTTACAATAAAACAACCTTTAGGAAAAAAAAAGTGTCTGGGGTTTTCTATTTTTCAAGCACATGAATGGAACATCACCCAGTGCCGAGCCTCTTGTTGTGAAGAGGGAAAACGTCCATTAAAGTGACCTAAATCTCAGCAGCAGTCTCTGATGGACCTCGTCAGCCGTAAAACTCTACAGTGGGCTTCTCCTTCCATCCCTTGTGCATCCCTAAAGCATTTTCCAGAGCATCTCCTGTCTCACGCTTGGTTGCCAGTGCAGTGAACCTGCTCCTCTCACCAGTAAGACATTTATGTGTAGCAGAAAGTGAACCAGGTCTCCTTGGTCAACTGGACGGGCAGTTTGGTGCGTTGTAATGCAGTATTTGTATTCACACAGGGCAGGTTCAGCTCAGTTGGCTTTTTTTGCTGCTAAAGCTGTGCAAGCTGATCCTGGGCAAGGTAGTCTTAACTCACACATAGCGTGTTTCTGCCCAGCGTGGTCAGAGATTTTCACTTGTGCAGCAGATCCACCTGTGAACTTACTGTCACCTCAGGAGAAGAGAGGGCACTGAGCAGGCACTGAGCAGGCCCACTCCTTTCCACAAGGCAAGGGCCTGGACAGCTATTGTATAATCATGGTCAAAATATGAAAGGGGACAGAAGTCTTTGCTTGGAGGCTCTGTCAGTGTTGACCTGCATCAGAGTGTCTCACAGGTTCACAAGGATGCACTGGGGAATGGGGATCACCGGCAGCTTTGCATGCAGGAACGCAGCCTTGCTGATGCCTCTGGAGCTGCAAGACCGACCTCCAGACGAACCAGAAATGAGCGGGGAATTGTCCCAGGTGGAACACATACATAGACCAGGGGTCAAAGGAGGAGGAGACCAGGCCTACCGCTGGAAAATCCAAGGTATGTTGTCTGTCACCCTTCATGTATCCTTTTCTTTGACCTGTTTTGATACCCTTTGGGGTTTTCTAACATTGCACCCACCCCCCAAAGAAGCAAGCAAAACCCCAAAACAACTTCCAGTGAAAAACAATTTGTAGTGAAATTATTAGTTGGGAAAAAAACAAAACCCAAAGACACGGAATGACGATACGTCTGGCAATTGGATAAACTCTCTTGGCTAGTAGTGAAGTGTGAAGATAAGCCACAATAATAAATAAAACCATCAGAATATAACAGTAGGAATGGCTGTTTTGCAGTAGATTTGAGGTAAAAGTGATTTCAATAAAGAATAAGATTAGATGTCCTCCCATCCTAGCCAGATAGGAGTTAGGATTTGTTTGAAAAATCTAAATATGTGAAGTGGATAATGTATGGCCAAAAGGCATAGAAAACTGGAGGACAGTGCTCCTTGGCATGCCAGGGTCTCCTGGCACTAAATTCTCCATTTTGCTAGACCCATTTAAAAGGATAAGATTGCAAATGGAAACATAAGAGGCTTAAGCTAATCCTGTCTTATTTCCCAATTCTCTACTTTCTGCCTTAACAGGACTCAACTACTTAAGTCTTAGTAATAAAGGAAATGGTAGCTCAGAATTCAGGTTCTGCTGGAGGTATCTCGTAGTTTCCTCTAATTTCAGAAGGACTGATGAATCTAGCAAAGCGAATTCAACTTTCCATCACTAGTCTGATCTTCAACAATTTGCCTTCCTTGGAGTTTTGTTCATCCTGAGATCCTGCATGTGGGAGCATGTAGCAGGTGTGTTACACAGCAAACCTCGACATGTGCAGGTAAAGCCTTTGTGCTTGTGTGTGTGTGGTGGCCGTGTGCCCCCTTCAACGTGTGAGTGAACAGTACGTCTGGACCCAGGCCATGTAATGTAACATCTCTGACCTGGTAGCAGCAATTTCTGCCTCTTGCTGCGTCTTCATCACCCGTCAGCATGAGCATGGCTGCTGTGTACGGAATGGGGTGCTGGGACCCAAGGGTTGTCCCACCACCCCCGAATGAGACAGACAGGGCAGGCCCAGAGGTCACGGCCGGGCTCAATCAGGAGTCCAGATCATCAGGCAAGCTCATGGTGATGAGGCAGGTCTGGAGTCAAGCTGGGAAGTCAGATCTGCAGCTCAGGGTTGGGATTTGGTGAGGGTTGCCAGAGTCAGGCACAGCCCAGCAATCACTGGGCAGGCCCACGGTGGTGGGACGGGGTGGAGGGAGGTCAAACTGGGAAGTCAGTCTGTGATCAGAGTTCAGACCGGCCAGGCATGGGCATGTCTGCAGCTGAACTAGAGACTTCCTACAGCACAGCTCAGGACAGGGGCTGAAGGTCCAGGGCTGCGCTGAGACGGGGCTCCAGGGCCACGGGCAGGGAGTGGATGAGGGTCCTCAGGGCCTCTCAGGCATATTTGTGCTCTTGGGTCCATGGGAGCCTCAGGCTGTTGGGTTGGGCAATGCTCCTTGTCCAAACTCCTGCTATCTCTTTAAGTTCCTTGCTGGAGATCCCCTGTGGCTCCTGAAGCAGGACAGAATGAGCCAGCTGCAGAATCACTTCTCCCATGCAAGAACACCCCACAAAACAGTGAAGAACAACAAATCATGAACATGACATCAGTTTGTAAAAAATTTTAATAGTGAAAAATTGACAGTGCGATAGCTAGATGTGAAAAGGCAAAGGCACAGCAGAATGTTATCTGGGATGCTGCCAGAGTGGGCAATGGACTCTGCATTGGCCAAGGGCTGTGATGGCACGTTCCTGCTCCTGGTCCTGCCCTATGCGTTAATGGTGAAGGAGGAAGCAGAAGCCTCAGCAAAGTGCAGAATTCACAATGCACAGGCAAGTGCACAGCACATGACAGCAGCAGACACCAGCCTCCTTGGAAAGCTCCTGGACTTGAGCATTTGCTCTTGCTGGCTCTTGGCAAAGAGTAACTGCCAGAGTCCTACTAACTGTACAGGGCAAGTTGTCTATGGGATTCTCTAGGGTATGCAGCAAGGCAGAATTTAGCCCTTCATCTAGAGCATGTAGGCACAAAGTACAGGAGAATCTATACCAGTTTTCACCAGATTTGCAGCCTAGTTTCCATGTGTTATCTTAATTTCTGGTCACAGTAAATCATATCTATGGTCCTGCCATGAGACACAAATTTTTACAGCCAGCTGTGTACCAAGGATGTTGCTGGAACCCAGGGGCTACCAAAGCAGAATCCTATTCACATCCTTGACCTGCAGAGTTGTTGTCAAAGTGATTTGGTCACCAGGACAGTCCCTCTGCTTCCCAACTAAGTGCAATATCTCCAGGAGGAATTGAATCATGCAAGAGCTCATTAGCCTTGATGAAGCCCACAGGTAAGGTATGGGCATGGTGGGCAGCTAAACCCCATGCTGCCCTGTCTGCTGCCAGAGAGAAGGAAGACGGCATATGTCTGTGATCTTTGCAATCACACCTCTGATGCCATCCAGATATCAGCCAAGGCTCCTCTGGAGAGCTGAAGCCTGCCCCAGCCAAAGTGACGGTTCAGAAGCAACAGCAGGCCTGGCTGGGAAAGGACACTCCAGGCAATAAAAGGCCCCATGAAAAGCTTTTCATATAACTACTCAAAATGATAGCAGCAGTGAGAGATAAGGGCACTTTAACAACAATTCTGGCAATCTTAAATTCACACTCAGCTCATACATTGCAGCACAGGTACAAGAAGAACAAGTGCGTTACACCCTTTGAGCTTTGGTGCCCTGAATGTGGAAGGTAAAAGAGGATCTCCAGGGCTCAGACTCTTCTCCCCGTGCCCGTGCCAATATTTGTTATAATGATCATGCATGCCCAGCACCGCTGCCCACCAGCCAGGGTGGGCAGGAGCCACCTGAGAACTTCTGGCCACCTTCTGCAGTGTGCAATGAGGTTCTCACCAGTCCAGACCCTCCTTCTGCGCCGGGAGCCTCATGCTCCTCTCGCTGTAGAACTGGGCGTACCAGCGCCGGTGCTTCTGGATGCTGGAGTCCTCTCTGACCAGCAGTGGCTTGGGCAGATACTGTTTGTTATTCCAGATGGTTATATCACGCTCAAACTGAGGGGAGAAGGATGGTCTCACTCAGGTGGGGAAGCTGAACCAGTAGTTTTGTGCACACTGGGTTTATTTTTTAGCATTTCTCCCAAATGGCTGGTGTGGGACTGTTTGTGCTATTTGTAACTAACTCGTAAAGCTACAGCTCTGTCTGCAGTCAGCAGATGTTTAGTCCATTGTATCTCCCAAACAAGAAGCCACTTTCATCTTAGATTGCCTTTGTCATAGGAGATATGGAAAAATAAATGGATGTTGTGTAGTAGGAGCTGCTCCACCTGAGATTTTTGATTCATTGGGTAGCTCCAGCCAACAAGGGCTTTATAGATTAAGCATCCACAGCTTAAACTCTGCTTAGACACACATGCAGTGAGATTTATGGAGTTTTCCTCTGTGAAGAAGTCTCTGCAGGAATGAGTGCTGCTTGTTCACATTAGTAAGAATGTAAAATATTAAGCCAGCATTTTTACAATACAAGTTGGAACAGTTGAGTTTGATTTTGGATAGAGTTTGGGCATCTAAAAATCATCTTTTGGCAATTTTTACTGTAGTGCCAGTGAAACTCTCTCTGGTCAGAACAAACATATTCCCTGACAGAAGGGAATGACATGAATCTTCTGGCTGCTCAAAAGGGAGTTACAGGGATAATGGAGTCGGATTTTTCTTGGTAATAACAAGGAGTAACAACCACAGATTGCAGGTCAAGAAGTTCAAAATGGACATTAAAAATAAAAACTAGCAATATGGGTAGAGCAATAATGGAACATGTCACCCAGGGAGCTGGAGAGATGGGTGTGTTCTCCAAAGGAGGAGGTCTTCAAGGCCACACCTGACCTGAACTTTGCGATAGTCTTGCCCCAACTGGATATTGAACTGGAGACATCCAGAGAGACCTTCCACCACTTCTATGAACCCCTGTGGTAAGGACCTGGAAAACCTTTGCCAGGAGGAGCAAGGGTTGCAAAACCTCCTGACAATTTAACAGCAGGAGGATTTCTTGGCACAGTTCTTACCAAAGGAGGTAGGATGGTCACCAACCTGAGGTGCTGGAAATCTGGATGCAGTTATTAGTTCCCTCAAAGACGTCCTGCAGCTTGGGAGAGGTTGCCTAATCCTTGTGCCCCAGTTCTCCATGCACAGGAGAGGAATAGCACCTCTCTGCTATCCTCAACAGATGAGCCACTGCAGGGACCCTCTTTACTAAACCTCCAGTTTCGTAGAGTGTGCCAAGCACTGAAAAGATCTTGCCCACAAGTACTTGCTCCCACGTATACCTGGGCAACTGCTTTTCCTTCTCACACCTCCTAGCCACCAAGCTCCAGGGGACCAGGTTCAGAAGCCTTACCTGTATGCACTCTGCTCTCAGGATGAACTTGGGGATTATGGCCGGTATGTTCTTCTGGTAGTAGATTTTGTGGACAACATTCTGCAGGAGAGGCTCCAGGGGAGTCACTGTCTGCAGGATGATCCCATGGCCAAGGAAAGCATGTTCAAAGATCAGGAAAACCAGCCCTGGCCCCACCTGCAGAGCGACAGAGCACACTCAGTTTGAGACCTGCTTGAGATGTCTCCTAGACTGCGCCCAAGTCCCCCTTTACTCATCTTTCATCAGAAAATAGGCACAAAGTCAAACTACACCTCAGGGCCGTGAGTCACACACTGGTCTCCAACTGTTAATGCTCCCCAGGTCAGGGGAAGTCCAGCAGACCCATGCAGCCCGTATTGGCCTGGGACATTCACAGATATGTCAGGGCTGGATGGCTTTGCTGTGGGCCCATGGGAATTCAGGAGGGTTTACAGTACTCTACTGGTCCCCAGAAGTTTAAACTCTAATGCTTCTAATTTTTCACTTGGTCTTGTTCTTCATCACTGAATTACCTTCGGGTCATCAACAGCCTTATTGGGTTGTTGACACCAGTCCGGGGCTCCAGTCTCAGTAGCAGTGATTGCAATGCAGTATGGAGGTAATACAACATCCCTACTCCTGCTCTGGCTTTCTTCTTCGCAGCTCCAACAGTCACATTAGGTGTTAGCTGAAGTATAAGACTGGGGGCTCAGGTTCAGCCTTTTATCTTGAATGACATGGAGTACTTGTTCTCTGGTCTTTGACGTGCATCCAGACACACAGATGCATGGTCATACACTCAATTCTTTGAGACAGTGCAGATTGCTGGGTTTTCAGCTACTTTATTTACTACTTCCTTTCATGTCTGGTTGGGTACCAACTTTTTGTGAGGTTATTTGAATGGGGTTTTTTTTCTCCTGTTCATTGAAAGCAGTGCTAAATAGCACAGATCCAAGAATTGAACAGAGATACAATCAACATCTACTTTGTGATAATTCCCTAATTACGCCAAGATCTAGTCCTTATCAAAGTTTTGTATCATGACTTGTTTTGCTATTGTTCTGAATTTGTAATATGGGAATAGGTCAGATGCCTTCAAAAATGTACTAGAACAAAGTTACTAGTTTTATCAGGGAACCTTTGCATTTCATTAAAAACAAACAAACAAAAAAAAATCCCCCAAAACCAAACAAAACACAACCAAAAATGTAAGTGAGAACATCTAGTTCCCACTGACTCATGTTTAATGGCATTATTTCTATTTTTCCCTTAATTCTTTATCAATCTGTGTTATCTATTTTATTATCTCATTCAGGGCTCATCTTGGGCCATCAAACGTGCTGTTTCTGATAGTTTGCATTCCCAGGCATGTTCACCATGGTCTGAAAAGGTCCGCACTGCTGTATTGCAAAGACCTGTGACAACGTGGTGTAAGGTCCCTTGGGATTGTCACCAGAGCTTGCTCAGGTACCAGCCATTTAGGTTTTTGAGTTGTTTTGTGGGCACAGCAGTCCTTACGAACCCTCCCTTTTCTCTGTGCTGTGGAGCAGCCTTAGTGCCAGTGTGTACTTTTGGCCCACGTGTCTGATGCACTTGGTAGGAAAAGCTTACACCAGGCAGGATGGGCAAGGACTCACTTTGGGTGACAAAGCCCTTCGGCTTGGGGGGGCTGGTGGTCACCAGCAGAGGACATACCTGCCTGGCTGAAACCATCAAATCCATCAAGGAGACGTGCTTCCCAAAGACGGTTGCGGTGTGTTGAACCAGAAGCTGGGAGCAATGCTCGTTGGGCTCTGGCTCCGGCTGCCACTCGGCCTGGAGGGGTGCAGAAGGATCGTCTCAGTCCGAGAGATGGGGAGATGGTAGCACAGGCTGAAGGAGGTAGTAGCAAGATGGTGACAAGAGCTGGCTGTGAAGACCATCTAGAGACGAGCACAGATGAGGGAGTGCAGCTAAAACCCTCAGAGACAGAGAAAGGACACTGGACCTGAAGACGGGGGGGATGCAGCAGAGGGGGTGAGGTAGGACTGATGCTTTGCAGCAGAAAGGGGACCTGGTTTGAAAGACTTCAACTTCCTCATGGCTAAGAGGAGAGTTAGGGTCTTACCTTCCAGACATGCTTCATAAAATCCCACAGCTTGGACCTCATGTATCTCAGATCAGATCCGCCCAGAATAGCTGGTCCATGGAGGAAAGCCAGGTGAGCCATGTCGGCCGCGTTCTCGGGGATTTCCTGTCATTGGGGAACAACTCACCGCCAGCTGACTTGGGTGCGAGCTGCCTCTGTTTGATATCAGTATCGCAATAGCACCAGCGTGACTGCAGTACAGCCCAGGGCGCATCGCTCTGAGCACAGCAGAGATGCTCGCAGGTACATGACACAGCAAGAGGCAACCGAGTGAGCGGAGGAAGGGGCCTCAGCACTTGGGACTAGTTCTTAACTACTGTAGAGGAATAATTTAAACATGAAGCTCAAAAAAATCAGAGTTCATTTTAAGCTCTGTGCATGTTAACTTCTGCAGCTGCACAAGCTGGGACTCCAAATAAGTACTTCCTTTGGGTCTGGAATAATTGTATGGAATAAAGCATTTTTGCGTTTGTGCACCTAGACTAGTTTTCACATACTTTTAAACCTTTAAAGCCCACCAGCCTGCCTGCAGTATGTCACTCTTTGAGAAGTTTTAACTGCTTTATTACTCAAATACACCAGCTTTCCACTGGCACAGACTGGCCCCAGTATAGACCTGTGTACAGTGGCTTGCATGGAAAAGCAGACATGAAATAAATATTACTATCCCATCAATCTCACACATTCTCCCTGCTTCTCACAACTGCACACTCCCAGAGCTGTATCATCTCCTGTGTCTCATGCACCTTCTTAACGTCTTCTAATAATTCTTCATTTCTTTCTAACCCACTCACCTTAGTTGTGATTTAGTCAGCAGGCAGGCGCTGCCTTTGGAGAGAAGTGTGCTTTAGATTAAGGGTCATCTTTGTCACTGATTTTTACAAATAGAAGTGTTCTGCTCAGTGGCAAGTATATAAAAATCTCCCAAGGTCTAAAATCCCAAGGGACTGCCCATTTTCAAAACTGCTGCTGCCTCCTGTCACTCTCCAGGAGGAGCCTCCACCCACGGCTGCCCCGGCTCCCTTAGAGGACCACGGCTGCGGTCCCTTCTGTTTAGTGCCACAAAACAGTTCCCCTTTTCCAGCGTTGTTTCCACTGAGAGGTGATGGAGGCAACAACAGTTTTGTTCTCCATGGCAGGTTTGTCAGCATGTGATGGTGATTATGAAGATTAACAGCAAAATAACCGCGCGTTTCCATTTTGGTGATTGATGAGTTGAAAAGCCTCCTGACACTAAGTGCCGCAATTCTTAGAGAATCTTTTTTTAAATTACATCAGTTATAAGTCAAAGCAAATTAACAGATTCCCTTTAAGTACTCAGAACATCTGCTCTCTACTCAAGAAGCCCACAAGCTGTGTTTGGGGAACATATGCTGTATTCTCGATATATGGCACAGGGGTGTATTTCTAGGTCTGAGCTCTGCCGGCAGCAGCGGTGGCACTGGATGCAGGCAGAGCCCAGTTAATTGGGAGGGAGATGTCCCTGAATGGGTTAACTGGGAGGAGATGTCCCTGAACTGGACTACAGGAGAGGACCCAGCTGTGGACGTGCCCCACGGAGGGACCGGGCTCCCTACCTGGATGTGTGCGTCGACCAAGTGCTCTGTTTGCCCACGGAACACCCACTCTTGGGTGGTGATCTCCCGCTGCTCAGGCACTGCCCATGTCGGACTGACTCCTTCGCCGTGGTACCAGACCAGCAGCATCCCGTTCACCTCGCAGGACGGCCAGGTCCGGACCCTCGCAAAATCTGGCACTGTAGAGGAACAACAGGATTCGGTTAAAAGTGGCATCTCCAAGGCTGACGCTGGTGCTAAGGGTCACCTCATCCTAACTATGGCTCAGAGATCGTCTTTATGGGTGATACCCATGTGGCACAGACTCTCTGGTGGCACTTGCCAGCTTTCAGGCTGCTGAAGAAGGATGACAGCTTCTGAAGTCCACAGAAGAGAGTTTGCTTAAATCAGTTTTATTTCAGTTTGGTGTTTTGCGTAAGTCTTTGAGGGAAGAAGCGCGGCAGGCTGCTCTACAGCCTTCTTTCGCTACCCTTAAAACTGTTCAGATAAGTAAATGTCTGCTACGTTAATCAACTCTCCTCAAGTTTCAATGAACTAAAAGGAGATGCTTTTAGTTATAGATGTGCAGAGAGTAAAAGCCATCTCTACCTCTTCAGTTCAAGTCACTGTCTGTTACAATACTGCAGTATCATGTATTGCTTTAAGAATATATCTGCACTCTTTTCAGTGAAATGGATTTTGGCATTTATACTTACCCAATTGTCAGAAAATGTAGCTTCTACTGGATTGGAAGGCTTTTGCCCTCGTTACTTTTTTTTCTAATTTGCAAACAAGCACAGAGGATAGCACATCCTTATTATTCGGCCTTGTACAGTCATGTGGGAGGGGAAATAATAGGAGAAATCATGTTTCTCTTTCAGTCAATGAATGTCAGAGGGAGGAGACCTTCGCTGTGATTTCTGATTGAAAAAATCTGGTGCTTTGGGTGGGATGCATTCATTAAATTTTTAAGAGGGCTTCATCTGCCCCCACACAGGCACAGAATCATCGAATCATTTAGTTTGGAAAAGACCTTTAAGATCATCAAGTCCAACCATTAACCTAACACTGCCAAGCCCACCACTAAACCATGTCCCTAAGCACCATGTCTACATGTTTTAAATCCCTCCAGGGATGAGGACTCCACCACCTCTCTGGGCAGCCTGTTCCAGTGACTGACAACCCTTTGGTGAAGAAAGTTTTCCTAATCTCCAATCTAAACCTCCCCTGGCACAACTTCAGGCCATTTCCTCTTGTCCTATCACTTGTTACTTGTGAGAAAAGACTGGCTACTACCTCCCTTCAGGTAGTTGTAGAGAGCGATCAGGTCTCCCCTCTGCCTCCTTTCTCCAGGCTAAACCACCCCAGTTCCCTCAGCCGGTCCCATCAGACTTGTGCTCCAGACCCTTCCCCAGCACCACGCTGGGTTCTGTGGTTCTGCTTGGCTATCGGTCCCCTGCAAGCCCAGTGCCGCAGGAGCTGCCCATCCAAGCTCTCCAAAATACCTCTCCATCAAAGCAACCTGCATGAGCACAGGTGGATTTTAAATCTGTTCAAATCAACCTGACCCATTTGAGCTGCAGCTGTCTGCAGTTTCGTTCTTTTAATAACTACAGATAACGATGACTCTGAACACAGCCATTTCAGATGAAACAATCCATCCTGGCAAGTGTTTGCCTATGTCCAGAATATTCATTCTTATGTTGTGATGAAGCACATCTTTGCTCATTACTTGGAACCAAATTTTCTCTTGAATGCAGCTTCTGAGTAGGTATGTATGGGGAAATATATACAGTATTAATATTTTTTCTGAACCCACACACACACACAAAGAAAAAAAGGAATTGCTGTTTGGTGAAATCTATAAATTGTTTATCTTAATCCATATGGATGGAATGTTTCTTCCACTTTTTGAGAAAAATAGTCTGTTTAGTAGAAAGACTGAGTTTTGCTGCTCATCAATGTTTTCATTGCTATCCCAATCAATCCAATCAGGGAAAATAACTAAGAAGCACAAGCTGAACCAAAATTCAAGGTAGGTCTGTTTGCTGGTTTCAGCCACATTTAGAACTGGCGATTTAAAGTAATTTGCACAGCCAGATCAAGCAATCATTACATGTGAACTTTAAGTAAGATACTCTTCCTACACAGTCAACTCAAAACACATCTAAATGGTGGGTGTGTGCGAAGAGCTTTCCTGGATTCTAACCAAAAGTTCCCTTCAAGCCTTAAAAGGAGAAAAAAATTTCCATTGAGAGACTATTCTGTCATGCTAATGCGACAGATTTAAGCACTGACGTGGTATAAGCTATCACTACAGAGTACAGAATCATTCCTGAGACCCAATAGCTCCTCAGGATCCTTCCCTGCTGCTGCAATGGATGACTCAGAGTTAAAAATCTTCTTTTATACCCTGCTTGCTCAATGCAGGAGTTGTAGGACTATCAAAATCAAGGAGGGTGGTTATTTAACTAGAGTGAAGTCCCAGTTATCACCTAACACAGGAAAGGGCACTGGAATGTTATGCCCCAACATGGACAACCCAGGAGGAGAAGTAGGGCACTGTGTGAAATAGGGGAGCAGGACATAGGGTGAATTATTATAAGGATCACTTTTCCTTAATGAAGTAGCTTTTAATGAGGACACATTGGGCACTGCCGTTGCTGCAGATGCTTTCTGCGGGTCTGGGGGAACTTCACCTTTTTCAGCATATGGGATGCTGGTGCATTTTCCATCTTCTCCTCGAAACTGCCAGCCGTGAAACGGACATTGGATGCAATTGCCCATGACACGCCCACCGGCAGCAAGGTTGGCACCGAGGTGAGGGCAGTAAGCGTCGACCACGTAGGCTTGGCCATCCTGGGTGCGAAATGCAGCGAGCTGTTCTCCTGCAGAAATACAAGGTTATGAGGTTGTAAAAACCACATTCCCAGATGAGGGGGGTCAGGTAAGACACACATGCTCGGCCCCCTCTGAACAGCCAACTTTGACCGGCGCTTTTACCCAAGTTTGCAGGCATCTGCCTGTGAAAAAAACATGCAGAAATATCCTGCTAAAATTTAATATTGTAGATTTTCTTTTCTTTCCAGTGGAAGAGCAGTGGCAGGACAGAAATCGGGTTGCTCTGGAGAAGTTATTTAACCACGAGATGGCACCAGGCAGCTGCCAGAGCCTGGGCCGGTGCTGTGGGCAGGGGGGTCTGGCAGGCAGCAGGTCCCTCCCAGGCAGCCTGCAGAAAGGGCCATGCAAAATTGGGATAGCAGCTGCTGTAGCAAATGCCCAGGGTGTGGTGGCCACTGGCTTGCTGCCGGGGTTTAAAAGACATCCCAGAGCTGTGAGCGGTTGTGCCACAACTTGTTGCACCCCGTGCTTCACGTCCAGCATGTTGACACCCTGCAGAGCCGGGCAGCTGCCCGGTGTCCCAGGGGGCTGCTGTAGCACAGAAACATCCGTGCTGAAGGGCATTGCCTTGCTCTAGGCAGGGGGAGCATAATTTCTCCTGGTCATCTCTAAACCCTCATGGCTTTGACACTCAGCTCTGGTTTTTGAGCTCTCAGAGACTGTTTCAGCTGCAGGATAAAAGTTGCCTTCACAGAAATATTTAAAGATTTAGGATGCTTCCCCTGCTAAGGGAGGGATCCTCAGAGAGCAGAGCAGTAGCTGCACTTAACTCCGTTCCTGTCCCTTTACCTGAGAGGTCTAGAGGAGATAGTACAGGCTCATAGAATCACAGAATCATGGCATCACAGACTGGTTTGGGTTGGGAGGGACCTCAAAGCCCACCCAGTCCCACCCCTGCCATGGGCAGGGACAGCATCCACTAGCCCAGGTTGCCCAAAGCCCCATCCAACCTGGCCTTGAACACTGCCAGGGAGCCAGGGACATCCACAACTTCTCTGAGCAGGCTGG